AAAGCAAGCAATTTAGGGCCAAAAATATAACTAATTTCAATGTAATTGAGCCCTATTTTTCATGACAAAAATGTTTGTTAGCCCAACTTGAAATATCTCAAAGTCAAATTTTCACCTGGTCCCTCAAAATTCAAGTTGATTCAACTGGTTCAACTACATAGAAGCGTTAATTTTTCTTGAATGGAGGCATTAAAAATATAATAATATAAAAGATTTTTTGATGAACATTTTTTTTTTTAAATAGAACGGGTATATATAAGAAAATTTGCTGCATCAATTCCCCTATTCACGGAGTCTTTCTGTGCACCTAAATTTAAATGGGAAATTGAAAACTACAATTGCAGTACGTAATTCATATCCTTCTCCTAGCTGGCAATGCATAGTGTTATACATTATAATAAAGCATTTCTTCTTTTTTTTCATGTCACTTCGTCTCGAACGTAACAGAATGAAGTGTCAAAAACAACTCCGCACGTGTACAAGGAAGATAAAAAAAATCTCACCAATGGATAAAATCACAGCACTGAACACCATGTGGACATGAGTATAAACAATATCACCCCTGGTAATCGCCAACTGATATCCGAGAATTAAATTGGCAAACGCTTCTCGGAAAGCGATAGCGAGAAACAGCACGCAAGCTCCCTTGGGTCCAGGAGCAGTGCCGATAGCGACACCTTCGAGAAATGGACTGAAGCACCCACTGAGCAGTAAGCTGAGGAGAAGAGCGACACCTCGCGCTGACAGGAATAAGCCTCTTTTGGTCGGCAGCGTTCTCTGAATCAAGTTTGGTTCGAAACCGCTGTCCTCGATGTCGCGTCCTTCCGTTTCAGCAGTTACGCGTGCTTCTTGGTTCCTCAGTCTCCAGGCCTTTCCTTAAGACAATGTACAAGCAATTCATTGAATCTGCGCATGAAGAGAACTGAAATTTCCATCTGGCTATCTTCAAGGAAAATAGTGAAATCACAAAAATGTTCTAATGGTTACATGAACTCATAAAACTTGAAGTACAGGTGGTGCCTCACAATTTGACCTCCCACAATTTGACTGTCCCACAAGTCAATAGTTAAATTTTGTTAGGAGGTCAAATCTCAATTTGACCTCTGCCATGCAATTCAACCTGCATGGAGACACAAAACATCAAATGCCATGCAGAAAACATGCCATTTGACATTGTATCACAATTTGACTGCTTTGCAATTTGACCCCAGACAAGAAACAGATTAAGGTCAAATTGCAAGGTACTGTACCACCTGTACAGCTTAAAGAGGTGGTCAATTACATCAAATAACAAATTGAAATATATGCAATAATTCTTCAGGTTCTTGAATCTCATAGTAAATAAAATTTGATGGCCTTGGATCCATAGAGATTTGAAACAGGAAAGAATTACATGGAAGTACTGGTCATCATGGGAAGTAAGCACCCCTGGACATGAAACTGTGGAGTGGGCCTACACTTGGATAAATAAACGTGGAAAAAATGTGAAATTGAAACCTTTTTTAAAAGAGAAAACAGTGATTCAGCCAATGAAAATTGTTTCAAATATTATGTTCTTTGGCCCAACCGCTTACATTTCAGCAATTTTTGATGTAAACTTCGAAATTTCTCAAGTCAATTGAAGAAATGGAGAAGGGTGAATTTTCCTCATTCTTGGCTTCACAATTTGTGAATGTTAGAAAGCTGAGAACACAAAGTTTTCAAGATGACGTCATTTTCAGCCTAACGAAAAAAATGCATGATGAAAATTTGCACATATATAGTTTTAAATATCGTACACGGCCTTTATGGGAGTGATGTGTGTTTTATTCCACAAGCGTTACTGAAGTTTGTTGAAAGGATAGGTTTTATATGTTGCAACAAAATAAGCACGTTTTGTGTTGACATTGATTTAGAATAGCAATCAAAACAAGTGCTACACATGGAATGAAACTCATGATTTTCCAATAACCTCACCGAGATCAAATTTTATATTATCGATTGATTATTAAATTTTTTTTTCATTCCTGATTGCATGACATGGTCAATTCGGCAACGAAAAAAGTTAATACTTCACCTAATGTATCGCTTTTGACAGTTCGAAATCTTGGACTGGAATCATCCGAATTTGAAGCAAGTCCTGCAAAAAAGGCGAATGAGGAAAAGTTTATTGCACAAAAATTCGACGCGGCCTTGAAAATTCTGAAGGGCGCATATCATTCCAGCGGGCACGTTTTTCTGCAGATTTCGTGACCATTTTAAATAAGACTTATCGGTTCCGCTCATTATAAATCTGAAATGTGCCGAAATTTTCAGTTTTAAACCGAACCAGCAAATGCTGCAATTATTAGTCAGATCACTTTTCTCATACAGATCAAATTATTTTGCAAAACCTTGCAAAATAAATTAATAACGAATATCCAAATCTCGAGAAAATTTTCTAAAGAAACGAGCCATAAATTTATGTGAAAAATTCTTTAAAATCTTTCTGATCATGAAATTTAATGGTTCAGTGCAATTATTGTAATTTATATTTATTCCTATGATTCTTGATGAGCAGTTTCTCCCGCAGACATAAAATAGGCTTGTTCTTCATTCACTGTGGAACTTTTCATACCCAACTCGTGCTATTATATGTGAGAAATACTGTATACATTTATAATCGAAGACTTGGTCATTTTGTTTAAGAATTGTAATTCTTTTAATAACAACAAAAGTATCCGGTTATTTAGGAAGAATTCTTTTCAGAAAAAATGTCACGGTTTTCATGGAAATTTTTATGCATTAATACAGCGTATTTTCTACTTGGAAGACTTTTATAGATTCACTCAAAGCCTTTGACAACTGCACATATTTTTCGTGACATAATGTTATCAGAAGCCCTTGTCGAAATGTTATTATAATTTCGTGAATGCCCTTACGATCCTGTCGACTGACGACGGAAGCACGATTCAACCCGGAAGTCCTGCAATCACGCAAAAGTGAAAGAAATCAGTCATCATGCAGAACACGGATCAGGACACGACATGGTAACACGCGACACGCAAATTTCCAATCATCAGGATACGAGTTTCCGCAAAATTGTGCAAGCAATTTCCTCTGGACTCACGCGCTCGTCGACGATGGAGGATTCCCCGCGTTTCTTTGATTCTTTCCTGCTTCATCTAATTTCCCCATAATCCGTCGAAAGGAGAAGAAGAAAATAAGAAAGACGATTTCATGAATGGTGAATTGCAGCAGTATTTCGTTGAAATGACTGCCCTATATTGTCATGGATGAATATATCCCATCTGATGATTGCATGAAGTATCTCCTTTGGAAACAGAGCCTTTTTAATGGCATAAAAAGTTGGAAAAAACGAAATAAAATTATTTCGTTGGAGATTCAAAAAACAACGAACTTATTGTTAAGTATCAGGGACAGCTAGTGAAAACAATATAAATATGAGGCAATGACATACTTATTCAACCAGCATGAGTTACCCTATTCCAGTATAGATGCTCTTTTTTGTGCACTTGATTTTAATATCCTAAATACTTGAATCAAATTTATGGTTTCCCGCACTCGCTCCCTTTTTGTTTTTAAAATTTGAAAAACAGAAACAGGGAGGTTTAAATTTTCAAGAAAAACGTATGCAATGACATTCATTCAATTAACCACGATGAGTTACAGTACTTTCCAGTACAGTATATACTGTATATAGATGCTCTTTTCTGCACCTGATTTCATCATCCCATTTCCGAATCGAATTTGCTGTAACCACACTCGCTCCTTACTTTTGTTCTTTAACTTTGAAAAAAAAACCGGAAAGGTATAATTTTTCAAACTTAAATTCACGAGACTTTTATCTGAGACAATCAACAGATGAGAATAAGCTGATTGTACCTCCCAGCTCTTTATTCAAGTCGTCGTAGGCTGCTTCATCGTCTCCCTTGTTTTCAGCCAGCACGAACGTGGTTTCCGTGGGACTCAAGTAGTCTCGGCTGGAGGAAACCCTGCCTGTGATCACCAAAAGCATTCGCTCCAGCAAGAACAGACCAATCACCATGGTCACTGCTGTCAGCTCAGCCAACCTGTAGCCTTGGGGAATCATCAGCGATCAATTTACTTGAGACCTTCGAGTACATCCCTTTTTTGCTCGAGTAACGACGATGACGAATTCGAACTATGCTTCAAGATGTCGGCAAAAAAAAAAAACAGGACAGACCGAGACCAGTAAAATATGAGTGAATTAAACTGAACCGTGAAATACAGTAGAAGAGGCAAAAAGTTCGGTAACTTTTGAAGATTGCCAAAAACGCACGTTCTGTGCACGAGTCATACACTGTATATTGTACTCCAGGTTTCACTGTACAGTGCGGTACTCTGTGAAGACAGTACAGTACTTCATTCCAAGTACTGCGTAAGCAATGCCCATTGTAATCGCTAGGACTTGGGGTACTTTCCTGTTATCTCTGATCTACCCTCCTGTTATCTTTATACCTTCCCTCTGACCAATTTAACCTGACCTAACCTAACTTCACCTAACTGCCTCCCAAAATCAGTTTCTGCTTTCTTTGGTTTTCTGCTGAATCTGTTCTAGGTAAAGTTAGGTTAGGTCAGGTTATGTTGATTAAAAAATATTTGTAACTAACATAACCTGACCTAACCTAACTTTACCTAACTGTCTCCCAAAATCAGTTTCAGCAGAATGTGGAAAAATAAAATTGACAGTTTCTGGTAGGTTGTTGTGATTATGAACTTGTCCTAAAGATTTGTCTGGATGGTAGTGCGGTCTAGGAATGAGGTACAGACATAACAGGAAAGTACCAGAATCAGAAGCGCAGCTTCACCTCATGTACAAAGCTCTGACAGTAGGCCTATTAAGATTATTTTCTAAAACAAAACAATGCATCAATTATGAAAGTAATCTTCAGTATTGAACCTAAAAAAAGCTGTGAAAAATGTTTCACCGGGAAAAATTCAGTATCATCCAACTTTTTTTAATGTTTCAGAATCATAGAGGAGATTTTAATCCTTCCACAACAAAATTTCAATTACAGATGAACATTGATGACTTGAACCTCACTATAAGTCAATTACAGGTGGTACTTCATAATTTGACCCTAATCCATTGCCAAATGAGGGTCGAATTGCAAAGAGTTTAATTGCAAAACACTTTGGGAAATTCAAAAATATACGGTAAGTACAAAATTGAGAAAAAAGTGCCAAGTTGTAGGGCAAGGGTCAAATTACAAGTCAACCTCATCCTTGCAAATTTGACCATTGAATTGCTGGAGGTCAAATTGTAATGTACCACCTGCACCTCCCTACAAGTCATATTTGCTTCATGTCTCCATCTGAAACCCCTCAGTAATGATGGTTTAATAGCTTCTCTAACTCAAAAAATTTCCTGCATGCAGACCTCTGCAACTGAAAGTGTTTGGAGGTCTTTCCTGATTGTATCAATGAACTCATATGTGAGACATATAATCATGGGCAACGGATACAGTTGGTACCCCACACTTTGGCTCTATCATCTGTTGCTTGTGGTATAGGGTTGAATTGCTGGACAATTTGAAATGCAATTCCCTAAATTACATATGGAATTTTGCATCTATTTTCAGATTTTTTTGTGGGGCAGAGGTGAAATTGCAAGTTAACCTCTCAGCAAATTCGACCATCAAATTGCAGGTTACCTGTGATTTACTTGAGTGAACACTGTATAATGTCAATTTGTGCTTTCCTGCTCAGAAGTGATTAAAATGTCATTGAGTGGATTTGGGTTGGGTGGGAAGGGGGTTTGATTTGTTAGCAATTTGTGCTTTCCTGCTCAGAAGTGATTAAAATGTCATTGAGTGGCTTTGGGTTGGGTGGGAAGGGGGTTTGGTAGTGGAAATCTTGATTGAACCTTCAACCTTGTGAACGCTGAAAAGCGGCAAATAAAGTGTTCTGTTCATTAATTCATTCTCATGTAAAAAAAGAACTGCAAGGAGCAAATGTGCAAGGCAGTCACCTTTCGGTAGTCGTCCATAGCCGGCCGCCGCCTGGAACTCGACGTCCGCCAGCGGCCAGGAATACAGGGCCACGGCGCCCAGCAGCAACCCGCTGCCAAATGCCGTCAGTATGCAGTAGGTATGTGCCATGGCTCGCTTCAAATGCACGCTTTGCTGCAACGAGGGCTGCGGAAACCGTTTGCGGATGATGGCATAGGGCAAGTAGCAGGCCAGGGCATTCAGGATAAAGGCGACCATCGACAGGCCGCCCTTGAGGATCCGCATGTTGTGGGCGGAGTGCACTGAAGACAGGCCTGGCTCGATGACGGCCATTTGCTGTTCGATGAGCTCGAGAAACGCGTTGTCCGAGTCGTTCATGATGAGGCGCCAACTTGCGGTTTTTAACGCACCACCTGATTACATATATAGTGTATATCCTATATTCAGGTGCTGATGGTGCAATATACTTTGAATACCCCTGATGCTTCGTGTCCTTGTGTATTTAGAACTGATGAAGGTTAAAAATAGATTTTGGACGAGAGATTGAGATTCGGACCATAGCCGGCCGCCGCCTGGAACTCGACGTCCGCCAGCGGCCAGGAATACAGGGCCACGGCGCCCAGCAGCAACCCGCTGCCAAATGCCGTCAGTATGCAGTAGGTATGTGCCATGGCTCGCTTCAGATGCACGCTTTGCTGCAACGAGGGCTGCGGAAACCGTTTGCGGATGATGGCATAGGGCAAGTAGCAGGCCAGGGCGTTCAGGATAAAGGCGACCATCGACAGGCCGCCCTTGAGGATCCGCATGTTGTGGGCGGAGTGCACTGAAGACAGGCCCGGCTCGATGACGGCCATTTGCTGTTCGATGAGCTCGAGAAACGCGTTGTCCGAGTCGTTCATGATGAGGCGCCAACTTGCGGTTTTTAACGCACCACCTGATTACATATACTCACATATAGGATATAAGTCCACGACTACCACGTTATATGAAACTTATGGGGACTACGAAGCACAGGAACACATAAATCTTGACTACTTCCAATTTTTATCTAAAACCTGCTCTCTAACTCTAAGCCATTCTGGAGAACAGTGGATGATGGTTTCGTTGAGGGTTCGTTGAAGTTTATTCGGATTGCCCAACATATGTGTGAGTGTTTGTGTGGAATTTCTTCAAGACCTCAGTTCTATAGTGGTAAATTGAACTCAGCTCCAGAAGATCAAGGTTCATATATGACATTTACTGTACCACTTGAAAACTTTCTCAGAACGTTCGCTTTGAACTTACATCTCAGATAAAGTTGGACCTCGAAAGATTTGCTTAATATTTTCTGAAGCCGGGGGTCTTCAACCTGTGCTTTGAGGATCAACATTGGTTTGCAGGAATTGTGTTTTATCAATACATGGAAAATTCCCATCAAACAGAAAAACTCATCAATTTTAGTAATATAATTTTATTACATAGATTTTCTATATTTTTAAGATAGTGGATCTTGGGCATCACTTCTATAAATAGGCTGCTCATGCACAGTTTTGCACACGACTTTTGAAGACAAGGGTAGCATCAAGAAGTGTACTCGTATACCCATGCCCCGCAAAAGTTCGTGATTTTTTTTGGCATAACGGACATCCAAGTCAGGAAAAAAAACGCTTCAACCTAATTTTGCAAGACATCCTTCTGAGGCTCATGTTCCTTGGACCTGAAAAAAGTTTTCAAAAATTTTAAGAAGTCTTATTCTATTCGCTTCTGCAATTAGGTTGTTGAAAATCACAAGAATCCCCGCAAATGTGTTGTGTGTGTCAGTCTCGAAAATGTAATAAGAATAAGGTACTTTCCTGTTATCTTAGTACCTACTTTCCATGCACCTACCAGAAACTGTGAATTTAATTTTTCTGCATTTGCTGCTGAAACTGATTTTGGGAGGTGGTTAGGTAAAGTTAGGTTAGGTCAGGTTATGTTAGTTACAAATATATTTTAATTAACATAACCTGACCTAACCTAACCTATAAAAAATACTGAATTCATGAGACAAAGAAAACTGGGTACTGAGATAACAAGAAAGTACCAAAAATATAGAGAGTTATAAATAGCCAACAGAAAATAAAAACAAAAGCACTACCTCAATGTTATATTCTCCCTTCTTTTGAAGATTTGAATAAAACAACCATTTGAATTGTTTTTCAGATACAGTGAGACCCTCATCACATGCAGACACCTTGACCTGCAGACAATTTGACATAGGGACACTTATTTTCCAAACAAAATTAATAAAAACGCCCAACGTGAGGACACTGACTCAACATAGGGACAAATTTTCTTCTGGTCCCTTGACAATTTTTTTTTCAGAAAAAATACACTAAAATACAGTACATATACTGTACAACAAAGCATTTCGGAACTTGAAGATCATTCATGAACATTTGTTGAAACGACCCTAGAAATTAAATCATTATTATTAGACGGGAACACAAAACAATTTGTTATAAGCTTTAATTCCACATAAGGAGATTTTACTGCATCAATAACCCAAAAAATACGTCCAGGAAGCAGTCACAAATACTTGCTCCAGAGCGAGGGACAGCCAGCCACCGCTACACATAAGACCGGAAGGAAGTGACCCTCTGATGGAATCTGGAAAGAGAGAAAGAGAGATTGAGTACTGTACATACTGTATATAAATATATACAAAGAAAACAGATGAAATGTCTGGAAAGCGCGGTCCAGTACCCCGTGGACTGAAGGTGAAGCCTTGATGTCGAGTTCCTGACAAACCATTTATTCCTCGACCTATATTGGATGACGCAACAACGCGTTGCCAACACAGAACGGGGTCGGGGGCAAAAATCGGCGCAGCAGTCTAGATAACAAAAATAAAAATAAAAAAATCATTGCTGGTGAACTCAAGATTCCTTCATCAGCTCGTATCTTCGAAAGGGATAAAATCTCACAAAGGAAACTCACTAGGCTACACTACATAGAGCAAGAGAGAGAGAGAGAGAGAGAGAAAGAGGATGGATGAGAAAAGAAAAGAAAAAGAAGGGGTTTGGAAAAGACGGGAATCCCGAAGACGGCGTGAATAAGTCGGCCATTAATATCTGACGGCGGGTTACGACCATCCGTTTCGCTTTTTTGGCTCCAGGAATTCCTGGGCCTGGAGCTGGACGTTGTCGGGAGTGATGTCGCTTTGAAACTGAGGAGGGGGTTCACAATGAGGCGCGCCACACACCAACCGTGTTGCTCTGTTGCATCCCCCAACATTTTCAGCTTCTATATGCATGAAGGCATCAGCAGAGACACAACATTGGCAACAATAAAATAAAGTGGGTGAAAGGCAGCACTTTCTATGGAGGGCAATTCCCAAGGTTCTACAGTACAGTACAGTGAGACCCTGAGATGCGGACATATTTGGTGTATCAAGAGTGTCCCTAAGTCAAAATGTCCCTAAGTCAAGTCTTTTTTTCCCATAGACTTCCATTATATAATTTTTAACTGGTGTTTTCTGAAAGAAATATTGATCAAAATTCCTTTTTAAAATTTAGGAAAAAAATTCTACTGATGAAACAATTATTCAATCAGTGTTTTTCAACTCATGTAGAAAATCTGGAGCATTGAGGACATAAAACATTCACAAAATGCACAATTTCTGTGCTACTGCTGAATGTTAAGATACATCAATTCAGCAAATGTCCTCTTCTCTTCCTTTCTTCTCCAGCTGTGGCATCTTTATGATTTCTTTTTTGAGTTTCACAGTTGGATGTTCTTGTCTTCTTAGAGAAAATTTTCCACTTTTTTAAAATCTAGCCTTCTTGAGATTAACTTATAAAACTTAGCTTTTTGTCAAGCAAAAAGTTGAGAATAATGTTTATTCAACAGTTTCTTAGGAACATAAAGGGAAAAATATCTAAGTAAAAATGCTGTACCTCTGTACACTATTGAACATTGAGATGTTCGAATTTCCTGTAAAAAGTAACTTAGACAAAAAGAGGGAAGGAAATCCCTTCTTTTTTGAAAATCTCTATGCTTGAGATAATTTTTAAAATTAGCTAAATGGAGGGGGAAATGATGACAGAATTTTAAAACAATTTTTGTCACATAGATCTTACAATCCTATGGTTCTGAATATCTGTTCCTAGTAATTTGGTTTGAAAAATTTAATTTTCTGAAAATTTTGATGTCTGCAGGTTGAGTCAGTGTCCGCAGGTCGGGTCTTTTTTAATTGAAAATAAAGTGTGCCTAAGTCGAATTGTCCGCAGGTTGAGGCATCCGCATGTGGGGGTCTCACTGTATACCCTAGCTCCAATCATACTGATGTTCTTTCCAATGTGTGCTGTGTAAAGATGTATGTATGTGCATCAGGGTGAATTGAAGAAGATACAGTTGAACCTCTCTAAGTGAAATTTCAAGGGACCATCAAAAAAATTCAACTCTCGCTGGGGTCAACTTAGGGAGGTTTTCATTTAAGGAGGTTTCTTGCTGTAGAGGCACAAGCACTTTTTTGAAACATGAAATAATGGATGGAAATTGGAAATAGTGTTATTCTGGACCTTATAAATTACATCCTTAATGACTTTACAACATGCTGAACTTATAGAGGCAATGGTTCATTTCCCCTATTAGTCTGTCACTTCCTTTTAAATGCATTAGGTTACTTGTTTTATTGCTTTTCTCTTTCATGTATCAAGAAAACAATAGCCAAAGGTATCAGAAAGTATGATTCACATAAGTTTGAGAGAAAAGGACTTTGAGTTTGGGGAGGTTTTAAATACATTTTTTAAGGGAATTTAGAAGGTGACTTGAAAAAATTGACTTTGGGTGGCATTCAACTTTTAGTGAGGTTTGACTTGTCAAGGTTCAACTTTAGTATTGACATCTGGTCAAAATAAATGGAAAGTTTTATTTCAAATTTTGGGTATCTCAAAATTTGAGGATAGCAGACTCAGAAACTTCCCATCAGCAGAGGATCACCAAATTATTCAATATTAACAGTGCAGCAAGTCAGGATGTTTTTGCAAAATTCTGTGCCTATGAGCACTGGAGATTATAAAATCCTACTGTTGTACCAAGGCCCAAGTAAAGAATAAGTCAGATATATTTTTATAATCCTGCAGAATACAGTATACGGAATGAAAAATGAAAAATGTCTCACTGTGTGGCATTTTATCCTATTCCTGTGACTGGATTCGCATGAGAGATTCCTAAAACATTATAAAATTTGTCTCCTGGTTTTTCCTGAACTTAGGCTTTCTCAACCTGGGAGCATTTCAGTGACCTTGGGTCAAACTGAAATGTGCTGCCCCCTACAAAAAAATCCCAACTCTGCCATGCAATGCAAAGGAACCCTCAGCCATCCAAGGATTCAGGAAATCACAATACCACACTTCTTTTTCTTTGCCACCACCAATTGCAAGAAACATATCTTGGGTATGTCAAGCATGCAAGTTATGAAGTTTTAGAAACAATCTAGGGGATTAGGATATGTGTCATTTTGGAAAAACTTCAACTCAAGATATGATCTGCAACGGAGTGTAACACACTGCAATACCTCCTCCTTTTCACCCCAGAAACTATAAGAAAGTAACCTGGCACGGGTACTACATGGCTAGAGAATATTAGTAAAATTTTATGGAATTTTGGTTCAGGTCACACTTTTACCCATATACATCATTGAATCTCGATGGATACAAAATTTATTGTTCTACTTTTTATTGTACAAAGAAATGCGGTTCATCCGCGCCGATGAATTTGATATTCTCCCTGCTTTGTATTGTTGTAGTACTTGGAAGTATGTGTACTTGAAGGCATGATTCAATAATTTATATTTATAATACGGGGGCTCTTGTGTTGGGGACTATACAAGCCTCCACATCGCAACAATCGTTGTAGAATAAGGTGTGGACGAAAT